GAATCTAGGTAGATATGCAATGATTGGCTCCTAGAGCCCCTGGTACCATGTACCAGGTATCTCAAGAGTGACTGGGCACTCTTCATGTAACTTGGGTACACTTGGGGTATTGTACCCCGTTACAATGTGCTTGCCGAACTCGTCCGTCTTACAAATCTCATCGAAGTTTGCGACCGTCGAGCTTTTCCAGCGGTCAACAAGGCTATTTCCTCCGCAAAACCATCGTCCACTAATGGTCTCTTTGGCTTCCATGTACGTTGGTAGTTCTTACCACTTTTGCGATGGCAGACAAACCAGGGGACACTGTGCTCAAGTCCGAGGTCGTCTGTCGATCAATAATACGTGCAATATGCCATACTTGTTTGGTGATGCATAAGACCCAGCAACCGTGACACGCATATATGCGAAAAACAACTCGTTTTCATCCCCAGCTGCTTGGTCTGTAGTGGCAAGTGCCTGGTCTGTGTCACCAGGTACTTGATCCTTGGCACTAGCAGACTGGTCTGTGACTACTGGTGCCTGGTCTATGTCACCAGGTATTTTGTGATCTTTGACACTATGAGCCTGATGAATTGCACTAGCTCGATCGCCGAGGGTGTCTCTATCGAATGCGCTGGTGATCCTACAGTCTGCACGAAAGCAACAGTCCGACTGCTGAAGGATGTATCCATGTCACTACATTCCCCCGGTTCAGTGTCACCACACTCCGGAGATGCTGGCGCGCAGGCCCGATCAACTGGCTGCGCGCTTGGTGCTGCTAATCCTGCGGCTCTGCTCGCGCTAGACCTTGCTCCATTGATCCCCGCTGCTCCTCCGGTACTCTCTGAGCCCTGGGCTCCAGGCCGGGCTGCAGTCCTCGCCTGCTTCCTGGCTTGCTTCTTTGCTCTGATTTTGGCAGCTGGGGCGGGCTTTCGCGCGTGCTCCCCCCTCCCTTCGTGGGATGGCCTGCCTTAGTTGGTGGTTCGCGACGCGTCTTCCAAATCCGGGCCATGGCCTTCGTCGTCGTCCTCTTTCCACAAACAGCACAGCTGATAGGAAAAGCCGAATCGGCAAACCAACGATCCTTTGAACGGATTTCTAGTCACTGTCAGATCATCCATCACACTAGAACGGATTCCAGGCACTTTAATCTCTAATTCACTCACTTCCTCTTTTGACACTTTCAACACGAGCCTACTTTCTTCACTACGCTTCCTGTTAACCTCGCCATGCATCACAAGCAATGATCAGGTATTATAGTAATAGCTATGATGCGAGAACAAAAATACGCTGGAGTCTCGCAGTTGGCCACAGAATTGCGGTACGCGGTGCGCCACCCTAAACTCGATAACTTCCTTGCGAGTTTATTCTCCTATTATAAAGAGAAGGGTGTCACTGTCACGGAGGTAATTAGACTGAAGGCAGAACGCTTCTCCGTGATCCTAAGCTCGAGTGACGTCCAAAGTGGCCAAAAGGATAGGCTTCATCGGTTCATTCGAAGCAAACATGGCAGCAATAATGCTCTTGTGTAGTTGTGGCTGTTCCTATAGTTAAGCACCCCATAATAGGAATATTTGACTTCAAATATTTCATTTTACAACTGAGGGGTGAGAGGGAATAATATTTTGGGTTTGTAAGCAACTGGTCATCGAAAGCCATCTAATTATTGCTGTTGAGGGAGTTTTCCAAGCCTTGGGATTACTACCGAAAGGATCATCTGTATTTCGCTGAAATTTATTTCTGAAATAATGTGTTAACTTGTCGAAACCATGGCTATCACGATCGATGATGCCTCCACCACAGACACCTCTCCACTGCAGCCCTTCAGCCACAATGCCGCCATGCGTCCGCTGCACCGCTTCACGGCATCCAAGGAGTTCTCCTCGGCCTCTCCATCCTGCAGCAATAACTTTACGAAAGGCGTCAAGGTCTCGCCCGACGGTCTCTGCCTACTCACCAACAGTGACGATCACGTCCTGCGTCTCTTTGAAATGAGCAACGCGTCCGATAGCACAAGCCTATTGCAGGCCAAAGAGGGTGGCACAGTGTACGACTACGAATGGTATCCATTCATGTCATCAGCGGACCCAAACTCGTGCATTTTCGTTAGCACCAGTCGAGACCAACCAGTGCATTTATGGGACGCCTACACAGGCGAGCTCCGAGCTTCCTATCGAGCTTTCGATCATATGGACGAGCTGGCGAGCGCTCAGAGTCTGGCGTTCAATTCCACAGGCACTAAGCTCTTCGCGGGCTTCGATCGGATGATCCGATTCTTCGATCTCTCACAGCCCAGTAGGGACTTCAGGGCGAGACCACTGAGCAAGACTCGACGCTCGCGTAAAGGCCAACGAGGACTGATCAGTACGCTACACTTTAATCCAGACCACTCTAAAATTTATGCTGCTGGATCGTACGCGGGCACTACGTGTGTGTACACGGAAGATGAAGGAGAAGAGCTACTGGCACTGCGCGACCATGACGGTCGTGGGATCTCCCAGGTAAAATTTTCTCCGTGTGGGAGGTTCCTGTTTACGGCTGCTCGACGTGATGCACGCATTCACTGCTGGGATATCCGTGCTACGAACGAGATCCTTCACACGTTTAACCGTGTGGCTGACACGAACCTGCGAATTGAGTTTGACCTGCACTGTGGCGGCAGGTATCTAGCTACGGGTAGTCGAACGGGTCGCGTGATGTTGTATGATGTGCTGACTGGTGCTCTGCTGGACGAAAGCATTCGCTTGCCTGACTGTGCCAATGGAGTATCATTCTTCCCAGACCCGACTAGAGCGATGCTTGCGGTTTCCAGTGGTCAGAGGCATTATGATCTGCCTGAAGACATGCAGGATGAGGATGAGGCCGTTGCCGACGGAATTGACGTAGATATGAAGACGGCAGTGAACTCACAGGTGCGCAACGTGCTGCAGGTTTATGACTTCCAGATGCCTCAAGGCCAAGCAGTTAAGGGCACTGCGTCCGAAGCTCATAAACAAGCATAGCACAAAGCTGATCGATCATCTTGATGCGCTAATTACGGGGAAGTTAAATAAAATCATCGTCGGCTCACATTGTTCAGTTGAGACGCACAAATTTTTACCTCGCCTAGCGATTTCTGCGTTTAATATTATGGCGCTAGAATTTCTATCGTGTGCGACTCATCCCTCCAAAGCTCTTCTCCTCTCGCTTTTCTCTTTCCAGGCCTTGTCGTTCCCTATCGCGTCTAGGCTGCGGTGCTGATGGCTCCAGTCTGCCTCTCCAACCCGTCGTACTCGGCTGTGGGGCTCCACCTTCCTCCTCCTTTAGTGCTGCCTCCCTCTCTTCTTTGAGTCTCTGCTCCTGCCTCCTCTTTTGCACTTGTTCAAATATTTTCTGCTGCTTTTTCTCGATCTTCTTCAGTTTTTTAGCAGCTTTCTTTGCCTTCTTCTCCTCTCGCTTCCTCTTTTTCTTCTCCTTATGCGACTCCTCGGGAGCTGCAAACACGTCCACACCCTTGTGGAGATCGAAGTCCGAAGCCAGCTCTTTGCCCTCGTACGCGTGGCCAGGTAGGCCACGCTGTTTCCTATCACCCTCATCTTCCGAGTCACTGTCCTCCTGCAGCTCCTTGGGCAGTTTGTACTTCAGCACATGGTCTACACGCAGCACGCGGTCCAATAACTTGAAGCCGTTTAAATTGTCAACCGCCAGGATGGTGCTGCGTTGATCCTCAAACTTAATGAAGGCGAAACCTTTGGACTTGCCTGTCTTGCCGTCGCGCACCAAGTGAATGTCTTCAATCTCGCCGAATTGACTCAGCACGCACAGCACGTCGCCCTCCGACAGCTCGAAGGGCAGGCCTCCGACGAAGACCCACGCAGACTCGCTGTACTTCTGGTGCCATGAACCCGAAAGAGGCACGTTCAGCTCCAGCTCGCGCTCATTTAGCCGCTGGATCTCGGCCACCACGTTCATTGTTGTCGAAAAATGGCAATATTTCGAATCGAAATTTTCGATCATAGTGCAATTATTCAAGTTTATTGTCTAATTTTAAGTTGGGCCAGATGGAGCTGGAGGTGAAGGAGGATGCGTCTGCTGGGACGCTGTGTGGCTCTAGTGCTGGCGATGTAGCAGCGGATGTAGATGGACCCATGTGTCGTGGGGATACTAAACTATTCCCTGACAATGCGGTAGCGTCTGAATCCGCTCAGCGGACGCAGCAAGCCACGACAAAGGTGGTGTTTCTTACGGTCAACGACATCTACGAGCTGTTTCCAGATGCTAACGGCGTCGGTGGACTGGCTGAGCTTGCTACCATGTTGAAAGATATTAAGAAAAGGATCGCACGTGATGCACACGTAATAATCACGCTGAATGGCGATTTTCTGTGGCGCTCAGAGTTGGATCGCAAGGACAAAGGGTGCGTCACAAGCTTCGACGTACTCTCTAAGGAGGCTAACCTCTCTATTGCCGTCGTTTTCTTGCAGAGCTTTTATGATGGAGGTGGTGAACAGTATTGGCATCGAGTATGCGGTGGTAGGGAACCACGAATTCGACTTTGGGGCGGAGCATTTGCGTGACCTCCTCGCTGGCGCCAAGTTCACGTGCTTCGGATCGAACGTCCGATCTACTAGCAATGGGAAGTTGTATCCGGGTCTGGTAGATACATATATTGTGCCTTTGAGCAACGGACTTCGACTTGGAATGTTTGGTGTGGTGACGACGGTCACTGGGAAGGACCCATTTGCTGGTCCGAGCGTCGTCTTCGACGATGAGCGACCCCATGCGCAGCGGTGTGTCGAACATCTTAAGGCTCAAGGAGCCAGTGTTATTGTGGCACTCACACATTTCAAGGTAGCAGATGACGTACGGCTTGCGATGCAGGTGCCGGGTATTAACCTCATTCTCGGAGGCCACGACCACTTCCCAGTGACGTGTGCTGCCGGTGTCGACACGCTCATCCACAAGTCGGGGATGGATGCGCTATGGCTGGGTGCTGTGGAGATGACCTTGACCACACCGACGGCGCCACACGGTCTAGATCAAGCCACAGATGTTCAAGTGGGTTTTCAATGGCAAATGTTGCTGAACCGGGGATATGACGCTGATCCAGCATGCCTGGCAACGATAAACAAGTATATCAGTGATGTACGGCAAGAAGAACTGGCACAAGGGAAGCTTGAACCGCTAGGAACGGCTCTAACAGCCTTGGATGGACGACGTGTCACGTGTCGCACACAGGAAAGCAACATGGGAAACCTCGTGGCAGACGCACTGCGTGAAGGACTGAGTGCAGACGTCGGGCTATTGAACGCTGGATACATTAAAGGTGACAAGTTGAATGACCCAGGCCTTGTTATCACGCGGAAATGGCTGGAGAAATATTTACCGCTGATGAAGCCTACTGTTGTCGTCGAATTATCCCTGCGACAGCTCAAGGATGCACTAACCTACTGGTTGCGTCGATATCCTGCTATGAGCTCGTCGCAGCCTCACTTTTCCGGTATTCGTATAACCTACGAAGCTAAGAACCCAAATATTTTGTCGATTCGCTTATGCAAGGAGAAATATGAAGTTGGTGATGATGCCGAAGACACGAGTGGTGAACTTGGTGAGGGCCAAGAGGAGGCAGAGATGGATCGCTTGGTTACCGTCGGAATGCCTTTGGTTAGTAACTTAGACGGCTGGCATTTTTTCAAGAGAGCTCGTCAACTGCGATCGGGGTCACTGGTGCGAGACCTGGTGGAAAAGTTTGTTAGACAACGGGTTGAGGTCAACTATCCTCCGAAAGAAGGCCGGCTTATTGTCATCGAACCAGTACGACAGAGATCTCCTAAAGCATCAGCGTTGTGACTTATAATCCTGTGTGTGATAGAGTTAGAAAAATTGTTACAGCTTAACGCCTTAACTAGCCTCGATTTCACTAGCAGGCCCGCAATAAATGGAAGCAGCTACTGTTTCATGCTGATCCATGCCTGCACTATATAGCTGTGCAGATGTTGGGTTTGATATGGCCTTCAGAGTTTAACGCTCGTGTATTTCTTGCAAGGCAATCCAATACACGCTCACCTTCGAATTGGAGGAGCACTATTGTCTATAAGTACTGCACGCTGAGGCATTTAAGGAGCAACTTCATGCTCGCTCCACGAGGGTGCAGGCGTTGGTGTTTGATCGAATCACCTGGCAAACTATTGTCACCGTCACCGACTGACCAATTTTGCACTTCCATCAACATCAGTGACACCTCCTCATGACGAAAGACCGGGTTCAGTAGATCGGCCCTCGGCGCAAGGAAAAGTACCCGCGGCCCGACGTCCTAACAAATACCATAGCGTTTTCTCGTTTGGCGCCAACCTCAGCTGTATAAAACGTGTGAACTCCACTTGCCACCCCTCCCAACCACATAACCAATTCCGAAATTGTTTAAGCTTGCCCTCATTCGCAGGACACATTTCTGAAATGTTCACTTTCATCTGTGCAGCTCCTAGCGTTTGCAAGAAAACAGTCACAGGGACAAACTGACCTGTGAACTCGCACCATGGGATCTCTTTATCGCCCATCACACATTTGTCCATCGCAAGAAGCAGCACAATGCGAACAACCACCTCCTCAATCCGACCTATAGCCAGTGCTTCGTTCAACACCAACTTCTCGAACTGAGGTAGGATGAACGCTTTTAATGCATCGATGAGACCGTACCAAACTTTAATCCTAGTATCGGGTCCGACGCATAAGTCCCTCCTTCTCGTAGTTTACATATGACAGAACTGCCATGAAGTTTCCGATGACTCGAGACGCCAGCACTGACGTCGAACGCGGACACAGAGCATGGAAGCTGCACCAAACATGGTTTCTACCGTGTAGTGTCCTGATCCAAAGGGAAGTCCCATTAGCAGCTTGTTTGTTGCAAGGTTTACCACGTCGGTTCGCGTTCTGGGTACGAGTCCATACATTCCAACTAGGTCCTTAAGTATGCTTTGCCACAGTGGGCGACCCAGTTTCACAATCGATTCAAACCCCAACTCTAGAATTTCGAGCACAGCTGTCTAGTATCAGACATTCTGGTCTCTTTTAACAACAGTGTTGTCATCTAGCAAGTTTTCGTCCAGCTTGTTTTCATCGCCAACATCTTTACTACATTGCAACATTGCCACAGTATGTCCATCGTGTGAGTGAGAACAAAAGGCGGAAACGAAGTCAACTTAACGCCGGTTGAACCACAAGATTGATCCGGCGGCGAGATCTTTGGGCTGGTATCCATCTGCACCCCGAAAATCCCCCCTCTCACTCCGCCGATAGTGTTGTTTGCCGAAACGAGAGCTCGCTGCAGCATATGGAAATGGTTTACTCTGCCTTCAAGCAGACTTCTCGATTCGTCAATCACCACCACGACCAGCTTGTCAGTCGTAGTGTCCAATACTTTGGCTTCCTCTTTAGCCACCATTCGCAACTTTGTCGTCGCTGATTCATCGGCTGTCGTATCTCGATCCACTGCTTTTGCACAATTTTTCCAGTGCTTTATCGCATAGTAATAAATCACTACCAGTTGATCAGCAATATCCGCCACAGAAGACTTATCATGGAAATTTTATGGAATTCTCAAGTAGCTGACAACCTAGCACTCTTTTCAACGAGGGAGCCAACGCCTTCCTTGCGTAATCTCTGCGGCGGCGATCCATGCTTGAGACAACCCCAAGTTTTCCGCCGCCGAAACCCCAAGGACCCCGCCGGGGTCGGGAAAATTGGGCCGGGGTTTTTTTCGGGTCTAAATATCCAATCAGAATATTTTCATTAGACTGCAGATTGAGGTACATTTATCTGCAACATGTGTGATATCCAAATCTGTTCTAGGCATTCACGCTCGAAAGAGTAACTTTTGTAGCTTTATCGCTCTGGGAATAAAACTGTATCCGATGACTATCATGCTGACACCTTCTCCAGCCTGTCTGATAGCATTTTCACAAAGCGGTGATCCTTGCCATGGGTGATCCGCAAGATACGCTGCGCCTCGGTCAGATATTCCAACGACTTCTGCTTGCTCTCCTCTGCTCCTGTTCCTGCCTGTGCCTGTTGGCCGTACAGATCGCCCAGGGTAAACAAATGAAGCCCCGTCATCGGATGGTTGGAATTGTAGACACGGCGATAGAACTCCAGCATGCGTTCTCCGTATCCAATGGCTTCCTCCACACTTCCACGCTCCATCTCGGCACTAAAAAGCGTCGCTAGCGTCTGCAACCGTGCAATACTGTCATGATGGAGGATAATACTCTGCTGTTCGGCCAGCTTCTGCAATGCATCAATGCATTGCTGTTGTTGCTTGGCTAGGTCCGTCTCGCTGGCAACAGCACTCGTGGCATCGCTGACTTCCTTGAGTACCTGCTCCACCTCTTGTCGGCGCTCATCAGTCCACTGTTCTTGTGGGACGCCATCGATATCAGCATCGAGAAAAGCATCCAAGCTTCCAGGCTCCTGAAGAGGCCGCGAGCAGCGCGGACACCTGCAAGTAAAATGATACTTGCGTTGCAGTCGCTGTTGCCTCTCGCGGCGTGGCAGCCCAATGTCGACTGTAACAAGGTCAATAAACTGGGTTAGTTCAGCCAAAGTCTCCACATATTGGTACCGAACGTACCGTAAGTTTGTGTAATCTCCTCGCCAGACTTGATGGGCCTCATCGCTCGGAACTCCATGTCGAGAGTTTTAGGAACGAACCTAGGGAATTCAACGTTAGGGTATCGGTTCTGTAATACCACCAACTAGCACTTAGCATACGTACGTGACAGCACAGTTCGGATCGCAGCTGTGGTTAATCATTGCACCGAGTGGAAAGCAGCCTGCCCCCAGCTCCAACAGCAGCTCGTCGCAAATGGAGAAGTTGTTGTTGCGGAAGCGACTCAGCATGCGCACCATCTCGTCCATCGAGAACGACTCTGCAGCAACAACGCCCACGTAAGACACAGTTGCAAGAAGCCACATGCCTTCTTCTTCCTCGTTCTCCTTACCATCCACTAAGTTGATTTTCTGTGCCAGCGCCGCCAGAAGAAGGAGCTCCTGGTCGTCCATGTCCTCCTCGTACCACACGAGCTCTGAAGGCAGCAGTCCCTCGCCACTTTCGCGTCTCAAGACACGTCCCAATAGTAGCACGTCTGCCACCTGGTCGCTACGCAGTCCGAGCTGTGCCAGTTGTGCCAGACTCTTGCACTCCTTGCGATGGTCCGGCACCCAGTCGGCTTGCTGGCACGCCTTCGAACCTACACAACAATCAATCAGCACAAATACCCAGTGGAAAAAGTGTGTTCGGTTATCTACCGCTGACTTACAGTAGAAGGCCGTGTTGCAGCGGCCACAGCGGCTGAGCCGAACACCCGTGGCAAAGCACTTGTGGCAATGAGAGCTCCAGAGCTCGGGTAGCAGCACGGCAGCACTAACGGAGGCACGAAGAGCTAGATCACCCGCATCCAAGTCACTCTGCGTCTCGACACGTCGGCCACGGTCCCCCGACACGTCCGAGGACGCGTCAACAGCGCGGTCGCTCACGATGCGCATCTTGGTGGCCATGGTTGGCGTTTAGAAATGGATACATGTACTACGATCTT